CATCATTGGTCACTCCATTAAGCTTCAAAGTGTCGCAATACTCTAAGAAAATCGATAGGTGGAGATTCGGGTCTTCAGTTGCACCTCCTCCAAACTGATTCTGCTGAACTATTGAGAAGCAGTGATGGTTTCAGCTCAAAGTTATTAGCTTCAACGGTGGGCCTTGTAATACTCGAGTGCGTGCCTTGAACATTTGGGACAGCGAAATCCTTAAGAAGTTGATTCTGATCACCCATCGTAGCTTGTTCTGTGTTTCTTTGCTCCCTTATATACCTTCTTATGTTTGCAAGAGCCACCGATAGTTCAGCGTTGTTTTTGTTGTGTACTTCCGTTTGATGCCCTTGCATAAAAGAAAGTGAGTAGCAAAGAGAATATAAAAAAATCTAATCTAGCTTAATAACGTAAGCACTCAATATTAACACCGTAGTCCCCGGCAACGGCGCCAAAAATTTGATAAACAAATCCGCAACTGCACGGACTCGTTGTAGCTATCAAGGTCGATCCCACAGGGACTAAGGGTTAATTACCAAATTTCATATTATTCGACTAGCTAAACCGACGAGTAAAATAGAAGAGATTAAATTTGCGAGATTAAATTTGCGAGATTAAATAAAAGAAATAAAATAAACTAATCAGGTGAAATTCAATATAATGAAGGGCCATGATTGGGTTTTTACCACAACTTCGATGCTTAATAATGAATTATTTCAATTCTCAATATTGGTTTAAACTAGAAATGATGGATTAGCCTAAATTAATCTAAAGCCTCTTTCAATGTCTAAAGATCGTGCCTAATTAATCTCAATTAACCTACTTTCGTAGAATCAATATTAAATTAAACTCATTGAGCTTTATGCTAATCCAAATCAAATCCCAAGGAATCTAATCTACTTTCCTGGTTCGAAATCCCTACTTAATTTCTAGAGGTCCGGTATTAATCTTCACCTTTTAGTCCTTTAATTAATTACCTATGATTGCTAACCCGGTGATCAAGCGAATCAACAAAATTAATTCACAAAAAATTAAGTTTAAAGATTTAAACTTTCACCAAGAACCTATATTAATTCATCATAAATTACCAAAAAGTTAGGTTCTTTCCCAATCCTAGAAAAAGAATCTACTCACACATGATTGGAATAAGAGAATATATCAAATAAATATGCAAATCAATTATAAGAAGAAATTAATTAAAGAGAGGAAAGAATTAACCCGTCTTTCAATTGAAATCTTCAAAATATAGACTTGCAATCCAATCCTGTACAAGAAATTTGTGTCTTCCTTCAATACTTGAACTCTAAAATAGATGCTAATTGATGGCTAAGAGAACAAGAACAAAAGATCCTAAACCCTAAGGTAAAATACATATGTATAGGTCCCTAAAAAAATTAGAAAAAGATAAGGCCCGAACCACGGGTGTGGTGCGTATCACACTAGGGTGTGGTGGAATCTGTCTCGCTCATTTTGTACTTGTTCGTATAATCTTTAGTATTTTGGCTGTAACTTCTTCGTCCGACCTCGGAATGTGGTGATTCAAGTTGTGTTGGAAAACTGTTGAAGAGATCTACAACTTTTATTTTTTGAGCTTTTTCGGATTCGAACTGTATCATGGTCAAAATTTCAGTTCTTCATACTCGTGTATTCATTTCCTTCTCGAGCCATGCATTCCAAATCTCGTTGTTGCTTCAAACTCTTGTTTAACTTCCAACGATCATCGAATCTTTCAATCTTGAGCCAATACTTGCATATAAGAACACAAACCATAGCAGTATCCTCGATCTAAACACGAAATATGCATCAAACACCCCATAATTCATGCCTGAAACACACTAAGATAATGCATATTTTACGTGTTTATCACGTCAAAAGTCGTATATATAGTTGATATGGTATTTCCTAAAGCAATAAAGATTTCTTCAGATAGTTTTATTGGCGTTTTTAAGATTTTATAAAAATCTGTAGATGTGGATCTTGTTTTATGTGCCTAATATCAAGCATTCTTGGTTGAATAGTTTTTCTCATTCTAATTCTAAATGAATTAAATATAATTTGTTGGAGTTATGAATTTAAATATACACGTATTATTTATCGCCATACAATATTCTCATTGTATTCCAAGTACTTCGAATTCTAATAACATTTATATATTTTCTAATTTTATGAACAAAGTACATTTTTTGTTAATATTACAGTCTGAAAGACGAGTATTCTATTTGCTAAATTATATTTAGCTTCTCCAATAAAACTATTAAGAGAATCTATAATTCTTTTATCTCTACAAACCAATAAAATTAGATAATCTATTCCTAATCTGAATAACCCAGTTATTTTTATTTAGATCAAACTTGTATGTAAATATCTTTTATTAGGATAGTATTTCTTTATTTGTTCTATTTTTTTTATCTATCAATTGGATAGTTGTATAATCATCGCCTTCTTCTAATTCTATATTTCCTTGCATTCTTTCAAATATAGAGGTTTTTTTATTTAGAAACTAAGATTTCAATGAAGAGGTTTTATAAACATGTTTTTTATCAGATCTAGGAATAACTTGTTTTAATTTTTCTAAATCTTCATCAAATATAGAAAAACCTTCACCTTCGCTATCTCTTTTAGATTCATTTGAAGGTTCAATCGAATTAATTGTATTGACATAGATATTAAATTTATCGAATTCATTTATTTTTTTTCTTTTCCTTTAGTGAGAGTTTATTGTCTATGAGGTTGCCTCTAAGGACATTTTGGAGTACTTTCTGGCGTAGTGTCTCTTCCAAGGACTCTCTTGTTCCTTTTTTATCATTGGAAGGTCTTCATATTTTTGAATAGTTAACAAAGCTAATATATCTCCTTGTTCGGCCACAATATCGTTTATAGCTACATATTTTTATGCCTAAAGAGATATTAGTTGTGTTTTGTGGTTTTATAAGACAACTTGATATTAACATTTTTTTTTTTGCAATTGTTGGTCTATTATGAATAATACCTTAATATCCCATCAACAGAATGATTTTTATATCTAAAAATGCTTCAATAGTGTTATACCTATTGGTAGTAAAGTTTTTGCTAGCACACAAGGTATATCCTGGGGAATTTAATTCTTCCTTTTTAGGATAAATTGCATATGGGGAGGTAGGTTGTATTTCTATAGAGTATAAAGTACGATTAATTGTAATCATATTAACGTCAAAAGTTTTAAATTTTCTTAAAATCTCTAAAATGTCTTCATCATTTTCAGAGGAGTCGGAGTAAATACTTTCTATTTCATAAACAGGAGAATTTGTTTCACTTGGGATATATATAGTGTTGGGTATAGATTCCATATTCTTCTAGGTCTGTAATAATTATTTCTTGAATATTTGTTAGGCATTAGTTTGCATAATGGCCCTCTTCATGACGTCTAAAACATTTACATCCTTTTTTAAATTTTTTTTCCTTTGAATATACTTTTCATTGACATATTTTCTACCTTTTTTGAATTTCTTTTTGAATTCAGATTTCCACTTTCCTTTTGTATTTTATAGCGTGATTTTCATTTATATTTTTTCGGAGAATAAGTTTCATATTCTAGGTTACAACAAAAATCTTCATTAATGTCTTCATCATAATTCTTACAGCAGTTGTAGGCTAGTTTTGATGACTTAATCTTTTTTATCTATTTTATGGCTTTTGCTTCTAGGCAATATTCTGTAATAATGTCCATACAGGCTTTCTTTAGGAATCCTATATTATGTGTTGAATTAATATTTTGATCTAGATAAATAGATATTCTCATTTTATATATATTCTACAATCTTGTTCAACGGAATTGGGATTTTGGGGGGAAAATGTTTTAACCAAAATAGTTTCTGATCTTTGTCAGTTAACTAAAAAATATAACAAATATATGTTTCTGCAAACTCCTCTAGCTTACATATATCACATAGGTTTATTTTAATTAATAATTTTTTGTAACCTTTTGCTTCTTGAAAATTTTCTCCTATTAAGTCTCCATATTTAAGTGTCATCAACCTTCCAAGCATTAATTCTTTTGTTTCAATTAATATTTTGTAATTCTTAGGTATGCATTTTCTCTATGTTTTTAAGCCACGCAAGAACATGTCCTTCCCACAAACTAGTTGCATATTCTATAAAGTTCTATTTTGTCATTTCTTTGGGTAAAATATGCTTAGCTCCTAATATATGTTGAGTCCACTCAGTCATATATTTTTGAATTTTTCTATGTGGGATTTTATCTATATTAAAATAATTTCCATCATTTTTCTTTTCTTGTTTATCATCTAAACATATGTTTTCTAATTTTTTTGACTAGTATGGTAATTTATCCAATCAGATATTTTACCATACCTTCTCATTTCTGAATCTGCACCCATTGATATTGGCCTTTTATCTCAGTATATTTTTTTAGCAGTAGTAGAAACTTGAACCAGATTGTTCAAGAGTCGAGTTTTCATTATTTGTAAGAATACCAAAAACAACATGTGGGAGAAATCAAATGGAGTAACAAGGCAATTGTGATGGCTGGCCATTGAAGAATAGTCTCGTCAACGTAATGTAAATGATATTGAGTGATTCATCATAGTAAGTATCAAAGTTATTGCACATTCTAATGATGGAAGGAAACTGAGTATGTGATGAAGGGCTCACATATACTAAAACCACAGATCGGTCAAGGATAGCCAGATCACTTCGTTATTAAATATCCTAAAGGTTTGTTAGTGAAAAAAAAGTGTGCCAACAGTCACCATGCTTATCCAGTTGGAAAGCTAGAATAAGTTATTTATATGTGCAATTATATTAGACTAGTATCCTTTACTCACGGTGAAGAGAATATCAAACAAGATATCCATGTACACGCACACAAGACTGCACCCATATCCAACAATATAAGGTCACTCAGACATAAGATGAATACCATATTATAGTGGCTCCTTGGATCCTAGCTACAAAACTCATTATTAAATTTGATAACTTGTATGTATTAATATAACAAATAAAATAAGCACCTTTGCAATCACGTCAGTTGTCTCCTTAAAGTTAACGCATCTGGCAACATTGGATTTGGCTAAAAACTCATCAATTAACTGAATTCCAATACTATAACCCCTGAAAACATGCACGCATAAAAAAGAGTTTCCATGTAAGTTGTTAGGGGCAACAATTTAGTACAACATTAGCCATCACATAACATGAAATGGAAAGACTACAACTTATCCTATTCACCAATTTAAACTGCGCAAAAACAAAATAGATTACATCACATTTGATCTAGAACAAGATTATTCTTTCCATTCCTTCTTCTTCTCAAAAAAAATTAAACACAGGGATGTTGAGTGTAACCCAACTGCTAAATGGAGTAATTTTCAAAGCCTAGTATTATTCCAAATCTGAAAATTCTCAAACTTGTTATGTTTTTCAAGTTCAAATATAGGAAATATCAAGGAACAACAACAACATTGCCTTTATGTCAAATCTTTTAGGCTAGCTACATGTATCTAGTTCTTCCATTCAATTATGTTAAAGGACTAGCTCATTAGTTAAGTTAACCATGCTATTAAACATCCAAGAATATCTGCACTAACCCTTTCACTTCCCAACTCAAACTGAGAAGAGGGGTGCCAAATTTCAATTTCTCTTCCATGTATTCCATACAATCCTCAAATTATAACCCCACTACTTAGAACTATCAAGTATCCCTCCAACTTAAGATATCAAAAGCCTTCATTCAAGGCAAGTTTGTTTGCACAAAAGAAGCTCAGAAGTTCATGAAGGAAAGGAAATAAAGACCATTTCCGCTACTTCTAAGCAAAAAAATGTGTTTGTTTCATCAAAAATATTACTTCTTCTACTTCATGTGTTTGTTTCATCAAAAACATTACTTCCTAAAAAAATTTTGAAAGTGAATAAAATGTGAATGGGGCCCACACGTGAAGGAATCTCGTGAAATTAGGGATCAGTTGTAAGTGTAGTTCCAAATTTGATGGTTTACATCAGTTATTTTTTACACATAAGACCTCCTAGATAATAGCCATTATTTATATGAAGGATTTTCTTTTTACCCTATTCTCTTATCTTGATTTATTTTTGAACCCACAAGCTTGTAAACTCCTTCATACACCAAAAAACATCCAAGCTAACTTTTTAAAAATAAAATCTCATATTAATGAGCTATAAAGTATTACAAACTATTATAATTCAATCTAAAATCCTATAATATTCATTGCTGTTATAGTATTGATTAAAGTGTGATAATAAAGGGAGGTAATCTTGTTACAGTTTATATCATGTATTAGTTACTTCCTAACAAAATCTTCAATTGTTAGCCAAACATAAGAAGTGAATGAGTGAAAGAAGTATTATTTCCATTACTTCGAAAAATGTGTGAAACAAACAAAAAAGTATTATTTTCGCTATTTCCCACTTCATACTTTAAGAAGTTACTTCTTTAATAATAATATACTTCTTACTTTCAGTACTTTTTGTAATCCAAAGGGGCCCTTAGAAAGGTAGAGAAAAACATAAAGCAATAGGATCCAAACTAAACTTACCCAAGTCCCCAACTCATCCAGTGACTAAGCAACCCATAATTCAAAAATGTAAAGAAGAATTACACAATCCACTCTTTCTTCAGCATGTGTTTAGCAATTCAACGAAAATGGCCAGCTTTAATCCTTAAACTAGTTCTAGATAGAACTAATTTAGTTGTGGACTAGCTCCTCCTGTTTCACAACTCACAACTGAACCAGTAATGGCCCAGTTTTTGACAATTAAAAGAACACTCTGCAAATGGACCAGGTTCAGACCTGGACCAATTTTAAAGAGCTGCAAACTGCCCTCGGTCTACATAGTCAAAACTGGTCACACATGTCAAATTAAAAAAAAACGTTCGTTTTTTTGTTGGTTCTAACTTCACAAAATTTTGAACATTTGAAGATATATCCAAGTTATCCAGCACATGCACTAGTTAGATTTTCCATAACTATACAGTCTATACTCACACATGAATTTCCTAATCATCTCTCCCTTCATTTGTGAGCACAGACTCAAAGTTCAATCATCCACGGAAACTATAAGCTCTTCGCAAACTTGTTCTAAAATTGGCAACCACTGACATGACTACTTAACATCCGTAAGATCTTGCAACTTAATTGGTTAACAGTCAGTACCATTTCTATGAGCAATCTCGGGCATCATCCATCCGTAGGTTAACCTAACTTTGGGTCTAAATCAGTAATGCGAAAACAACATGAATGCAAACATTAATAGGAATTTTCTCCTTATGTGGGCTGACTAGACCTTAGTCTACACAACAACCGTGGTTGCAAAATGATACACCAATCATACTAGATCATATTAACCTCAGTCATTCTCCTGGCACCGTTCGCGCTTCAATAGGACTTCACTATTCCTTGTGCTACAACCTTGGTTCTGGCACCACTTTGCTAGGAAGAAATTGGACCCGAGTGGGAGTTAATGAGTCTTACATAGACACCAGGAACCAAATTAACTATTAGGTATTAGTCTGAACTTCTATCTGAGTAGACCGCTCTTTCTTAATTTATCCAATATGGGACTATACTCACACACGAAGTTCCAAACAAGAGCAACCCCATCTTTCCAGTTTGTAGTCAAGGAGATGATGCGGAGATTGCAATGTTTGCCAGTGACTAGACTATTACGAACCAACGCAAGCAGGTGACTTGTAAGAGGGATATTTAGTCTCACATCAACTAAACAGGGAGTCATGGTGAGTTCATAAAAGATTTGGGTTTCCTCTCTCTAATATCTAACTTTAAAGGCGAGTTCTCCTATGTCAAATTCCTCTTCAAATTAACCCAAGCCTTCAACAATTATCACCCTCTAAGCCTAAAGATCTAATCTTTTCAATTTTCATCGTTTAAATTTAAAAAAAAAACAAAGATTTGAGGTTGGGGCATATACATCTGATCGAGCTGCTTGTTGACCTCCTCCACCCCTTCGATATCAGTCAGCAGCTGCCTCACCATCGCTCCGTACGTTAGGGTGAACAGCTCCGCGTTCTGAAAATCAAATCATCAACGACAACAGAAGTTTCTAAAATTAAGAAAAATTAGGGTGTTTTTCAACTGCTTACAACGCGCTCGACGTTGGCGAGAACTGCATCGCCGGATCTGGGAGCGAGAGGAGCCATATGCGTCTTTCTTCAATCGGAGTTGGTTTCAGGTGCTCACCAGAGCAAGTCCAGCGAGCTCTCAAGAGCGAGAGCTATCAAGCATTTTTAGTATAAAAATAATATAAAAATAAGCTTTTGGGAGTCTCTCCTTATTTTATGGAGCTCCAAACTAGCTTCTAGTTTGGAGCTTCAACAATATCAAAAAAACTCTTCTTCTATTTTAATTTTTTTACCTATTAATTTCAATTATATTTAAACCTCTTTTATTAAATTTCTAACCGTTGGAGACGGCCTTCGAGGGAGCGCACACGGTCTTCGAGGTAATCCACGGTCTTCGAGGGAACGCACACAGTCTTCGAGGTAGCTCGCGGTCTTCGAGGTTGGGCATGAAGTTCGAGGTATCGTAAACTTTGACCGTCAACCGACTGATTCCTATAAAATTGGATGCCTTCTCACCTCAACCCATCATCTCCCAGAACAAAATGTCTAGCTCATCTAGCTCTAGCGATGATGAAATGATGAAGACGTTCTTTCTTATGGGAGCTGTTGTCGTCGAGGAAGAAGAACAAGAGAAAGGTTCAACTTCAGTTCAACACAAAAGACGTATCGTGCTCCATCGATACCGACTGGAAGGCCACAATCGGTTGTTCCAAGATTATTTTGCTGACGCACCAACATATCCTCTTCATTATTTTCGTCGAAGATTCAGAATGACACGTTCGTTATTCCTTCGAATCCACGACGCTGTCATCGAACGTGACAAGTACTTCGTTCAAAAGAGGAATGGTGCTGGACAGTTGGGACTATCTAGCCTTCAAAAGATTCCTGCAGCTATGCGGATGCTCGCATATAGATCATCCGCTGATACCGTTGACGACTACGTTCGGATCGGTAAAAGTACGTCGCTTGAGAGCGTGAAGAGGTTCGTTCGATTGATTATCAACATCTTTGGGGAGGAATACCTTCGTTCACCGACTAATGAAGACGTTGCACGCCTGCTCAAGGAAGGTTCACAACAAGGTTTTCCTGGTATGCTTGGGAGTATCGACTGCATGCACTGGACATGGAAGAACTGTCTAACCGCCTCGCAAGGTATGTATATTGAGCATTTTCATGAACCTACAACTATTTTGGAGGCCGTAGCTAGCAAAGATATTTGGATATGGCATGCCTTCTTTGGATTGTCGGGATCTCACAATGACCTTAATGTTCTACATCGTTCACCGGTTTTCGCACAACTTGCGGAGGGAAGAGCTTCATCGTGCAACTATACTGTTAATGGCCACGAGTACAATATGTGATACTATCTCGCCGACGGGATTTACCCAGAGTAGTCCACATTAATGAAGACTATTCCAGCACCTCGAGGAAATAAGCATAAGTATTTTGCTCAACAACAAGAGAGCGCAAGAAAAGATGTTGAGCGAGCTTTTGGCGTGCTGCAAGGTCAATTTGCGATTGTTCGTGGACCAGGACGTTTCTGGCAACCTAGTGTGCTGAAAGACATCATGACAGCTTGCATCATAATGCATAACATGATCGTTGAAGATGAACGAGATTGTCAATTGGACAACAACTTCGACTTTAATGATTTGATACCAGTCGTTGAACCTTCTCATGTGCGGACGGTGACTCTAACTGAGTTCATCCAAAATCATCATCGGATCAGGAACACGCAAACACAAAAATCACTAAAAAATGATTTGATCGAGCATCTGTGGCAGCTCAAGGGATCCATCGCCGAGGATTAAGTTTATTTATGTCTAAAGTAATTTCAGCAAAGAAGTTCGAGTTGTTGTACTACGCCAATTTCCTTTTCAATAAAGTAGTTTTTTTCATTAAATGCCAAAATTTTCAACTTCAAGTAGAATCATAAATCTATTACAAGATACTTAGGAAGAACTAATTAGGATGCGATGCGAGTACAATCATAAATCTAATACAAGATAATATATGATAATTAGGAAGAACCCTTAGACATCCACCTCTCTAATATCTCTGACTGACGCATTTCAAAGTATTGTCGTTGAACTGAATTGAGTGTTGAGAGATCCATCTTTATGATATCGTCATCTTGTTTCTTCTATTTTAGCTCTATTTTTTGATTGGTGGTTTGCTTCATCCACTCGAAAGCCTCTCCCATGATGGACTTAGCGGACTCAGAGTTTTCCACATTTTGTTTCCTCTTGAGCTTTGCCGCTTTCCTCCCTTCAAGCATTGATATTACATCATCCGAGTCAGTGTTTAACTCGATGGGGGTCGCAAGCATGGAATTATTTGGTGAGGAATCAGAGTTTGTGATTCTTCTATTATGATCGAATCTTATTGTAAGTTTCCATTTGTTGGATCCACTTTTGATGATGACGCAAGTCAACCCAGTAATGGTCAAACACGAATGGTTTACCATAAAGAGATTGATATAATTCTTTTACTTCTGTAGTCTACACAAGAGTTAAATTTAGAATAATCAAACATAATTAAACATATATATTCCTCTCTTCAATGCTATGTTGTTTACATAAAAACATATAAGTTAAATATTTACCTGGTCAATAATTCCCGTACCAGATCTTTGTCTTCCTTCAATCTGAGCAACGCACTCGTAGAACTTGTTAACGGACAGTTGAATCGTTGACCAACGATGCATCATTTGGTTTGGTGTGCGGCTCGTTGGATCGATGGAGTATTGGATAAAGTAGTCGTTAGCTCTGTGCCAAAACTTATCTTTGTGTTGCCCCGTACCTTGGATGGCGTCTTAGATCGTGTTCAGCCAAGCAGACACAAGAAGCTTATCCTCGTGGACAGTCCAATTTTTGGACCGCGTGTAAGCCTTCTTCTTCTTTGTGGTCGGTGTATCTTGGGATGACACTTGTCGTGTTGCCGATTGCGAAAACTCGATGGGGTTACCTTCTTCTACGACTTCTGTATAGAACGGCGGGTATAAGGTCGATCTTTCACCGGTAAGGAGTTGCGAATAATAGTTTTGCGAGGGATCCATGAGATTTGTAATTTGATAGGGAAATATAGAATTTTTTTATGAGAGAGTTGTGTGGAATGATTTGTGTATTAAAGATTGAGAATTTATAGATGATTTTTTACTGTTCATGCCAGTTTTTTAATCCCAACGGCTACATTTTTCAACTCAACGGCAGTTTATTTACCCAACTGCTAAATTTTTTAATCCTAATGATTCCTCCCTTCGGGTTATCTATGAGATTTCATTATTACACCCAATTATTTTGTACTTTGTATCCCTTAAACAAAGCAACACACCCAATTAATAAAAAAACCAAATCACTATCCTCTTCCGCAACCCCATCCTCATCCTCAAGCTCTGGCTCCCCAACCCCATCCTCATCCTCAAGCTCTGGTTCCCCAACATCCTCAAGCTCTGGCTCCCCAACCCATTCTCATCCTCAAGCTCTGGCTCCCCAACCCCAAACCCTCTCCCGCAACCTCCGCTGCCGCCGATTGGTGGTTCCGTCAAGTCCTCTCCCGCAACCTCTCCTGCAACCTCCACCGGCATTGGAGGCCTCTTCGCCACTAGAATCAACCCTGCGGTCCACAAATTGGTAAAGGGCTTTTTGTAGGGGGGTTTTTGCAAATTTTTTGGTAGTTGGGAGCTCCCAAGCGCTCCACAAATTTGTGGAGCGCTTCAGATGGCTGCAAGATCCACGTCAGCCTTGAGAGCGTCACTGGGAGCATTTAGGAGGTTGCTGGAGGGTTCTCAGCAGGCTTCCACTGCCACGTCAGTCTTGAGAGCTCTCTTATGAGCTTGCTGCCCTTGCTCTCAGCGATGAATGAATGAAGGATTCAAACGGGTCGGGTCGTATTCGGATCTTCTTACGGATCCGAATCCTAAGAGATAATTTGTGAGAATCTTAATGGGCAAAAACTATCTATGTTTTGTAGAAACTATTTCTAAAAGTAGGAGAACATCTGATTATTTTATCTAGTTCTTGTGCACGTGCAATATACGTTGTTAAATAGCAAAAAAATATTTTCTTACTATAAAATAAGTCAGATTCATTTTGAGTTAAAATCTAGGAAAATTTGCTTCTAGCCCTCAATTTCCTTACAAGTATTCCCCCCCCCCCCAAGGCTTTTTCAACACTCCCAAACCCCCCAAAAGCAAATCCACAATTCTCTGAGCCCCCAAAACAAAAAAACCCAAGAGTTTAAAATATGTGAAGACTATAATATCATCTCTCTCTCTCTCGCTATGATGATTTGAAATGGGGTTTGGGGGGGGGGATTTCTAGTTCCCTCCAAAATTTTCCAATGGTGTCGACATCGGTGATGAAACTTTCTGACATTCGTTCACGAGGCAAAGAAAACTACGATCTTGAAGACGGTGATGACGAGTTGCGATGGATCCAGCGTCGTCGTTCCGAAGAAAAAAGCGGGAACTCCGATGCCTCCCGCTGTAATTTTTTCCTTTTCTAACTTGAATCTGAGTGATGTATATATTTTTTGTTATTTTATATATTTTTGTAATTTTTTTTAAATCGATGACTTGAGATTAAATTAGAGTCTGTAAATTTATATATTGTTGTTATTTCACTGTAATGAGCTTGTTATTAAAGTTATGAGTTGGTTGTGAAGAGATGTTACATGTTGATTTTAAAGGTTATGAGTTGGTTGTGAAGTTAAGCATTGGTTGTCAATGTTACGAGTTGATTGTAAAGGTTACGAGTTGGTTGTTAAGGTTACGAGTCGGTTGTGAAGGTTACAAGTTGGTTATGAAGGTTACGAGTCGGTTGTGAAGGTTATGAGTTGGTTATGAAGGTTACGAGTCAGTTGTGAAGGTTACGCGTTAGTTGTGAAGGTTATGAGTTTGTTGTGAAGGTTACGAGTTATTTGTGAAGGTTACGAGTTGGTTGTGAACTTGGTAAGGAGTTGGTTATGAAGGTTAGTTAAGAACAATCACAATCAACTCATTGCCTAGATTCACAACAAACTCATAACCTTCACAAAAAACTCATAACATTCACAACAAACTCGTAACCTTCATAACCATCGTGTAACCTTCACAACCGACTCGTAACCTTCACAACCAACTCATAAACCTTGATAACCAACTCGTAACATTCACAACCAATGCCTAACCTTGACAACCAACTTGTAACCTTCACAACTCACTCGTAACCTTCATAAGCAACTCGTAACCTTCATAATCAACTCGTAACCTTGACAACCAACTCGTAACATTCACAACCAACTCATAACCTTCAAAACCAACACGTAACTTTCCTTCAAAACCAACTTATAACCATAATAGCAAACTCATTACAGTAAAATAACAACAATATATAAATTTACAAACTCTACTTTAATTTTAAGTCATTGATTTCAAAAAAAAAAAATTACAACGTTTGAAATCTAGCCTAGTAGAGAAAATTGCATGTTACTGCCTCTATAAACATGAGAGAGTTCTTGATTGCAAATCAATTTAGGGGTTTTGGAATATATTAGACTCCCCTATGCTAGAACCCAACAGTATACCCTCTATCTTTTTTTTTGTAGGATGGAGAGTTGGAGAATGAGCCACCAACCACCTTTAATTCCCTAAAGAAGGATTGATTACAGAGTCATTTGCTACATCCCAACCCTAGGATGCAGCCAACCATAGTTACAAAAAAATGTAAACATAACTTTCCTGTCACACGACCATCACATTATATGTACAAGCTAGTTAAGCAAGCAGCTCAAAAAACACACGAAAAAAAACAACTCGTAACCTTCACAACCAATTCCTTACCGAGGTTCACAACCAACTCATAACCTTCACAACCAATGCATAACCTTCACAACCGACTTGTAACATTCACAACCAACTTGTAACCTTCTTTCACAACCAACTCATAACCTTAACAACAAACTCATTACAGTGAAATAACAATAATATATAAATTTACAAACTCTACTTTAATCTCAAGTCATCGATTTTAAAAAATTTACAACAATATGTAAAATAAAAAAATATAGCACTCATATTCAAGTACAAGTTAAAAAAAGGAAAAAATTACATCGAGACTCGCCGGAGTTCCCACCTTTTTCTTCGGAATAGTAACGCTGAATCCATCGCAACTCGTCATCACTGTCTTCAAGATCGCAGTTTTATTCACCTCGTGAACTAATGTCGAGAAAGTTTCATCGCTGATGCCGACGCCGTTAGAAAAATTTGGAGGGAACTATAAAATTTCCCCCAAAACCCATTTCAAATCATCACAGGGACATCATGAGAGAGAGAGAGAGAGAGAGAGAGAGAGAGAGCATTATGGTCTTCACATATTTTAAACTCCTGGGTTTTGTGTTTTGGGGGCTCAGAGAATTGTGGATTTGCTTTTGGAGGTTTTGGGAGTGTTGAAAAAGTATTGGGGGAATAGTTATTGTTATTTTGGGGGCTAGAAGCAATTTTCCCTAAAATCTATAAACATGGTTTATTACATTTGCCATACATTTTATTAAAACCTTTTTTTTAAATTATGAAATAGATTTGTGTGTAAAACTAGGATCAATATACTTTTATATACTTGCATACACGATATCATTTTTTTAAAATTTGCATATATTAAACTTCATGTAACATATTTGTTTATCGGATCAAATCATCGATCTCTAATTTGTTTATCTTAGTCGTTAAATGTAGTGTTAAATTTAAAAAAATATAATAATATATTACTGATATGTTAATAAAAATATAGCCAAATACTTAATATTAAGATGGTTTGTATGAGCTCAACACAGA